ACTTGTATAGATGTGCCATAGATGGTATTTCTGTGAATAAAATAGATCAAAATGTGTACACAAATATTGTGTTTAAAGTTTTTTGGGGGTTTTTTGTACAACATATTTTTGAAAATTCAGATAATTGTTAAAGTATTTGTAGGACAACCAAACAAAAACATACGCTTGAAGTATGAAAAATGTATATAATGCATTTACCATTTGAAAATTACTTTATGCAAATTTTAATCTCATTTCAAAGTAACTCTTTTCAAGTTATACTTGAAAAATTTGTGGAATGCAAGAACTAGTGCAGTGGGTTGTCTAGATGAACAAAAATTTTAAAAAATGCTTTGTTGAGCATTTGGGTGTAAACACTTGAAATAGAAGAGAGAGAAAAGGAAAACCTGAAACCACTAATATTGTGATTTGGATAATTTTGGGGTAAGTTTGTAATTTTATTTTGGCTGCTAGCAGATGGGTGGGGTGGGGAGAGGAAGAGGAAGTGCCACTTTAAAATCCACATGCTCCCGTACCAAGCCCAGCACATGCCTGGAAGAGGCAGCACATTAGTTGTACCTGGCTTCCCCAACACCTATATAGATTAGGTGCTTTTGTGGGACTTTTTTGGAGCTTTTTATCTAATAGCTGGTTGAATCAGCTATTGCATCAAAGGCTTTTACAGCACTTTTAACTGCCTGATCTATACAGACACTATGGAGCTGGGTCAAAGTAACACTTGCTTCTGGTAGAGTGCAAATTATGTGGGCTTTTTTGTTTTTCCCCGTATCTGTTGGCGCTGTTTTTTACTTTGAATTTTTAAAGTTAGGGCAGAGGAGGAGAGGCAGGTGACACTGGAAAAGAGCTTACTAGTAAAAAGGATTTGATGGTGGCCAAAAGATACAGAGGAGAAAAGGTATTTGGCATAATGGTCATCATGCTGGGGGAAAAAAGACAGAAAGCTTTAAGTATGGTAAAGGAATTCTGTCTGCTTGGGGTTTTTTCTGTTTGAATGTCTGTAATTGTCATTATTATGACCTTTTTCAGGAATGTAAACATACTGTAGTCATGCTTCCAAATTTAGTACAGCATTTAGACCAACATAAATCAGTGTATTCCATTTTTGCATTGTTTAAATGTTGTGTTACATACCTGCTAAATAACCAAAGTTTTCCTTTGCGCAGGGAAATCTTTTTTAAGGAATCGTTTGTTTAGGGGACTTGATTCCTGGCCTCCATCCTTTTGTGTATGTATTCAGTAACTTTGAATTCACATAAGTGTTGGGTTTTAAGTATGTTTTTATGAGTGTGGCTTCTGTAAGAAAAATCTATAGTATGACATTTAAATAGTAGTTGTAAGCAGAGGTTTTACTTCGCATGCGTTTCTTTTTGCTATAGAACAGATATCCATTCTTGCTTTAAAAAAGAAAACAAAACAAAACGTTAATCTAAGGATGAAATTGGTAATAAGGATACCCTTACATATATCTGTTGCAATTTGGTTCTGAGGGAGTGATAATTTGATGCTCTCTCAAGCATCTCTGGTTCAAATTTTATGGATATTTAGATTAGGGCGCTTATTATTTTGAAGCCATGAGGGTTCATTATAATTATTTAATATGACCTTCACAACACAGCATAATCATTTGATTCTTAATTACTTATGCATAGGGTGACTATACATCCTGGTTTAGTTGGGACAGTCCCGGATTCCACAGGTCAGTCCCGGCCTGTGGCTCAAAAGTCCCGGGCCAGGTCCAGTGGCCTGCCAGGGAGGCAGCTGGGCAGGCACTGCTGCTGCTGTGCTGGAGCAGGTGCCACCACACCTGCATGGGGCACATTCTTGCTCCCACACAGCAGCAGCGGTGCTTGTCTGGCCACCTGCCTGGTGCAACATGTTGCTCTGCCACTCTGGACTCCAGCCTGCGTCTTTTGACCAACTAGCAAGAACCAGCCTACAGAGTCTGGGAGTGTCCAGGCCAAACTAGGACCTTTGGTCACCCTACTTATGCAAACCATTATCTATGATTTGTTTCTGACCATGGACATGCTGATAAAGAAGCTCCATGTATAAACCTTGAGCAAAACGCATAGTGACAAGCTATGCATAAAAAAGCAGGCTGTTTATTTGAAAGCAGAAAGTGAGCAGGTTGTGCTTTGAAAAGGCAGTTAAAAGTGAGTATTTTGCCCCTTATTTATTCTGAGGCAACTTCTTCCACTGGTGCAGCATGGCTATATTAATTCTTTGGGCCGTATCGTATGTTCTCATCCTTCTTATTTTTTTATTTGAAATTCCTTAACCCATCAGCCTGCAGAAAAATTCATTTATCCATGGTTTCAGCTTGGTTGACTAGTTAGTAATGATGTAACTCTTTGTTTTTGCTTATTTAATGCTGTTGATGTGATTGTATGATTCACTTTGTCTTGTTAGATAGATACTTTTTTCATTTGCTCTTCTCTGGCATTTCTAAAAGCATATGTAACCAGAACCTGCTGGACTACCAATGGGCCATTAAAGGTTGGGGTTGGGGGTTGGCCTGCTGCAGAATTTGGGGCCCTTCAGACATGCTGGCTACAGTCATCAGTGGTGAGTTTGGCTTGCCACCACTGCTTCCAGACACGCTATAGCCAGCAGACCCATAGTAGCTGTTATCATGTCCTGGGTTGGATCCAGACCATGAGGAGCCCCACAATCCGATCTGACCCATGGGTCTAAATCTTCTGTATAGTTTAATATTTATCCATTTGTTTAGCAGCGCACTAATCTTCAAGTTTCTGCCCCATTTTCCTTCTCTTCGCTAATCTTTTAAATGGTATTTATAACTAAGACATTTAGTAATTTAAAGGAAGAACTGCTACTGAAAGAATTATTGAGTAGGTGAATGGCCAAAAATGCAAATTTCATTTTGGGTGGGTAGAAGAAATGAGGCCTTTATGAAAAGAATAAAATCTTTTTGAGAAACTTCCTGGATTTTTTAAATTCCTTGTTGCACAATAATTGCACTATTTTCAATCTTAACTATTTTGAATTTTCCCATCATTATATCAACTTGTAAATAATCTTATTGTTTATGCAGACACACAAGCCTCGCAGATTTGATAGTGAGCTTCCAGATATCTCATTAAATGACTTGCAGTTTCTGCAGTCTTTTTGTCCTTCAGAAGTACAACCATTACTCAGGTAAATGATTAGGTGTTAAGTCCTTGTAGCATGGAAATCACCAAGATCTTTCCGTTACGAATAGGAAAATATCAAACAGGAAAAACTGGAAAAAAAAAAATTGTAGTTGCATATCTTAAGGCTGCAAACACTGTTATCTTCGTGTAATTGAATATATAAGTACCCATGGTGGAATGTGCATATGCTTCATGTATTTGAGCCTGGAGACATTTTGGCCAGTAATACCCATACAGCATGCACATGGCCCATAGCCTATACTTTATATGTAAAGGGGTGAACATACCTCATGCACCACAACAGCTGTCCATTTGAGACAGAAATAAGGGTATGACTAGGAGTGGTAATTTCTAGTGGGGGTAATTTTCTCAGAAATTTCCATCATTAGAAACCTTTCGTGGAGAGAGACCAGTACCAGCTGCTAACAAGAAGCATGGAGACAGGAAGCTCACAAATAAACCCATTACAGGACACCAGTTAAACAGTCTTATTTTAAAGCTTGATTTTTATTGTGCATAAATGTGTGTGTAAGTGTGTCTGGTTATAAAAATGTATTTCTTGGTGTGGGAGCTAAGGCACACTGTTGACAGTCTAGAGCTCGCAAGTTTGATGCCACAGCAGAAGAACTCATGACACAGCCCTGTCAGATTCCAACAAATCTGCAAGTTCTGCTAAATATCTTGTCATGCCCGTCAGACCAACCTGGTGGCCTTTTACGACCAGGTCACTAAATCATTGGATGCAGGGGTGGCAGTGGATATAGTTTTCCTAGACTTCAGGAAGGCTTTTGATACTGTCTCTCACCCCATTCTCATTAGGAAGCTGGGGGACTGTGG